TCCCCCCCCCCCCACTTCGATTTTTTCTGTTTTTTTTTTTTTTCTCTTTCTTTTTGATTTAAATTTTCTCCGTTCCTCTAAAAATTCGAATTATCTTCTTCCCTACTTCTTTTCTCATCTTTCTAATTTATTTTATTTTCCTTTATTTATTTTGAAAATTTGAATTTTTCTGCGGCACCCTAAAATCTGATTAGGACTTAGCCATTCTTGCTTTCGGCACACATTTTGACTTCGTGGGGGTAACGAAGTGCTGCCGAAATTTGTGAAAAATTCAAAACTTGGTTAGTTTCTCTTCACTCTCCTCCACCTCCTTATTTATTTATCTATTTATTTACTTATTTTTCTGAAAATTTTAATTTGCGGCATTGTAAAAATTAGTGTGCTTCTCTTAGTCTCTCCTTTCTCTTTGCACATTTTGACCCCGTTGGCGTAAGAAAATGCTGCCGAAATTTTCAAAAAAATAAATAAGTCCTCTTCTCTCGCTCTTTACATTTTATTTCTTTATTTATTTTTATTTCTTTTTTTATTTTATTTTTATCTCGAAATTTTATTGTTTATTCTATTTTCTTTCCCCCTCCCCTGCATATTATCTTTTTTCTTGATTAGGTCGCCGCTACCGTCCCCTAACCACCTAAACTCCGGTTAGGGTTTTCTAGGGTTTAGGGTTCTCCTAACTCCCGCCCCCCTTCCTACTCTCCCGCCTCCTCCCGTCGGGCACCCTGGACCTGGACGGCTCACGCGCGACCCGCAAAATCCGAGGCGAGCCGACTCACACATACTCACTCCGCTCCCGCGGTCCCCTTCCTCTTACCGGTGGGCCTCTTTCCCCACACACTCCTCTGAGGACTACCTCCATTCCCCTTCCCGCCATGGAAGGGAGTTCATCCGAGGAGATCGCCGCGACGCAGTCCACAACCCAGGTCAGCGCGCCATCAGCGGCTCATGATCAGGCCCATGCGGACACCATGGACCTTTACGCCGTCCTTATGGCAATCCAGGCACAACTTAGTATGCTTGGACCATTGCAAGCGCAAATCAATGTGCTAGCCCTCGACGTCAACCGCCTCAAGGTCTCCCCTCATCGCTCTCCCCACCGCTCTCACACCCCATCCCCTACCGGCTCCGAGTCCGGCTCCCCACAACTCCAGAGTCCGAGACATCGTGGTTCCCCCTCCTCTGGGGGCCAAGCCCAACACTCCCCCGCAGCAGTGGCGAGTGCTGCTGCCGCTCAGACCACCCCATCTGCTGCGGCAGTTCTCCTGATCACGGTCGCCCCTACCGTCTCTACTACTGCCGTAGATGCTGCGGTCCAGGTACCGCCTTCTGGCCCAGCGATTTCATCGACCCACACCGGTGTTGCTTCCCAGCTTCCCGCACCGGTCGCGGCAATACGGCTCCGCCCTCTTCTTCCTGCCTTCGTCCCCCCACCCCCACAGCAGGGTACCGCCCAGACTGGGATTCCTCCTCCTACTGGGCGACCCGCTCCGCCCCCTCCACCTCCGCCCCCTCCACCTCCGACCCCGCCCACCCAGCGAGTGGCCAGTTTACAGGCCACCATTGCGCAGGCTCCGACGGAGATTCTCGCTCTGAGACAGCCTCACCCATCAGAGGGTGCCCACCCTTCTTCCTCTACCACCCCTTCGGTCCCCATGATGCAGGCTCGTTTCCCTCGACCTGCTCCTTAGCCTCTTCCCTCCTACCTGGCTATTCCAGAACAGCTGCCCGCGGCCGTTGCCTCCTCGTCTGCTGGTCCATCCGCCAGCGGCCACGGCCCACAGCCTTCCCCCACCTCTGCCCCTGCAGCGGCCTCGACTTACGCTGCCGCAGTGCACTCGCCTCGATCTCTCTCCCCCCGCCATCAGCACAGTGGACATCCGCCTGTGCGCACCACAGACATTCCCGAGTATGATGGCACATCCCGTGTCTCTCGCTGGTTGCAGATAGCAACGCGCACGCTCTCTATGACGACCACCCGTCAGGAGTTGTGGTGCGATGTGCTCGCAACCAAATTGCGAGGTAGCCCTTCCACTGCGTGGGAGGATCATTATACCCAGCGCGTCCGCGTGGGTGAGGTCCCCACTTTGGCCGACTTCGCGGTTTTCCTTCAGGACCGTTTCGGCGCTCGTCATGACGCCACCGGCGCCTTAGACCGCGTCACCCAGACCAGATGGTCCGGGTCCTCTGTACCGGCCGACCTGGAGCGTCACATCCGGGTGTTTCAGGACGCTCGCCTTGTTTGTGACGAGACTTTCCTACCGGAGGTCACACTCACCGACCGGTTCCTTGTCAGCCTGCCGACTAACTACCGCCTAAAGCTATGGAGGCGATCATTCTCTTCCGCGGAGCAGGCATACGAGGCTGCGCGTCAGTACCAGAGGATGTGCAGTCGCTTCTCCGTCGCCCGATCCTCTTCGCGGCCAGCCGCCACCTCCCAGTCTCGGGGTACCACCCGAGTCCGCTCCTCGTTTGCCGGTCGTTTTCGTCGCCCGGCTCGACCTGGAGCGCCATTCGCTCAGCACGACAGTTCTCTCGAGTATGGAGAGGACGCCTCAGTCGAGCTCGATCCTACCATTGGGGACGCCCCCGAGGACATCGAGCTTCGGGACGTCATCCAGTACCACTTGGATGACGACACTGTCCCAATGGTCGAGCGCCTGCAGATGGCCATGTCTGCCATGGGTCGTGCACGCAGTCGGGTTGCACAGGCTGGCGCCCGCACACCCACAGTTCCTCAGATAGACCTCCCGCAGGGTTTTGTCCCTCCTCGCGGAGCTCTATCCCCCGAGGAGCGTGCCGCCCTTGAGGCCCGACGAGGCTGCCTTCGTTGCCGCCAGGATGAACACACCTCCTCACGATGTCCATACCACACCGCCCTCGATCGGTACTACGCTGACATTTCTCGTCAGCACCGATCTCAGTCCCCCCCCGGCCCCGCCCGGCCAGCCCCACCCAGCTAGCCACGATGCAGTGTACCCTTAAGGCCTCGCTCGTAACCGGCTTCCCAACCACCGAGTCGCTGCTTGCCCCTTTGGCTACCCCACCAGAGGATCCTAAGGACATGACAGACGCAGCTCTCTCTGCCTCGTCGTCTGTCGAGGTATCGTCTGCCTCCCAGCAGACCGCCGCATCTAGCGCTTCTCCCTCGAGACTTCCGACGCATCGCGCCATTCGCACAGCCCGTTGTAGTGCTCAGCTGGCGACTCACGATGACGTTGTGCATCTCTCCTGGACTTTAGCATTCTGCAGGCTCGTCAGGAGTGACTCACGAGACACATCAACGTCCTGCGTCGTCTTCTCGCTCTACTCTCTGACCATGATCGCACCCTACCCATCATCCTTATTCGCCTAGGGACATCTACGAGGGTGTACCGCGCTTTATGGGACTCTGGCTCGCAGGGAGATTTCCTTCACCCTCGAGTGGTTGAGGAAGCTCGCCTAGCTACCTCTGGGTCTCGCTCTCCTATCTCTGTTACCCTCGGAGATAACAAGACGCAGCCCTCTTCGATCAGACGGTCCCCGACCTCCACTTCTCCCTCACCCTTCAGCCATCGGATAGTACCCAGACGCCTAGGCGCTACCATTCCTCCGCATACTTCGACGTGTTGGAGACTGGGTACGACTTTATCCTTGGCACTCCCTGGTCTCGCCGGTTCCGTGGCACAGAGGCCGAATGGGCGACCGAGACACTCGTTCTCAAAACGAAGTGTGGTCAGACTCATCGCGTCCCGTTCATTGGAACCACCGGCGACACCCCGCCCGACCTACCTCCCCAGAACCCTCGTCCCTCAAGGTCCCACCCCGACATCACGTTCACTTCCCCTCGTCAGTTTGCTCACTTCATACGACAGGAGGACGTCACGTTCTACTCAGTGAACGTCATGAATCTTCTTCGCTATAATCCACTTTGTCCCGAGGTTGAGCTCATCTCTCTGGAGCCCGATCCCCCTGACCCTTCCTCCATCTTCGCGGCGCCCATCTCTACGTCCATCCGTCAGCCTGCGGATACCCCCTCCACGTCCCAGGCCCCTGAGCCGTCGACTGTCGAGTCCACACATACATCTCGTGCCGACGCAGATGCTGAGGAACTCACACGGTTCACGGCAGACTTAGAGCCCGCCGTTCGCGACCTGATTCGAGAGTACCGCGACGTCTTCCCCCCGTATTTCTCATACAACAGGATTCCCCCGATGCGCAGTGTTGAGCATTCTATCCAGCTCGTACCTGACTATCGTGTTCACCATCAGGCACCGTACCGACTCTCGATCCCAGAGGCGACGGAACTCAAGCGTCAGCTTGAGGAGCTCCTTCGACTGGGTTTCATTAAACCCAGTAACTCCCCTTGGGGTGTACCTGTCCTCTTTGCATGCAAAGCGGACGGAACTCTCCGCCTCTGCATCGACTATCGCGGCCTTAACCGTTACACGGTTAAGAACAGCTATCCCATGCCCCGCGCGGATGAGCTGTTTGACCGTCTGGCAGGCAACCGCTTCTTCACGAAGATCGATCTTCGTAGCAGTTACCACCAGATCCGCGTTGCCACAGAGGATCAGCCGAAGACCGCTTTTCGGTCGTGCTTCGGCCACTACGAGTTCACGGTG